CCTTTATGTGTAAGGTTATCTTTTGTATTTGAGTTCTTTCCAGTTTTTGAATGGATGCTTGTATTGCGATGTATTTCCCCCTCAGGACTGCTTTTGCTGCATCCCAAAGATTTTGAACAGTTGTATCTTCATTCTCATTAGTTTCCATGAATCTTTTTAATTCTTCCTTAATTTCCTGGTTGACCCTTTTATCTTTTAGCAGGATGGTCCTTAACCTCCACGTGTTTGAGGTCCTTCCAAACTTCTTCTTGTGATTAAGTTCTAATTTCAAGGCGTTATGGTCTGAGAATATGCAGGGGACGATCCCAGTCTTTTGGTATCGGTTCAGACCCGATTTGTGACCCAGTATGTGGTCTATTCTGGAGAAAGTTCCATGTGCACTTGAGAAGAATGTGTATTCAGTTGAGTTTGGATGTAAAGTTCTGTAGATATCTGTGAAATCCATCTGGTCCAGTGTATCATTTAAAGCTCTCGTTTCTTTGGAGATGTTGTGCTTAGAAGACCTATCGAGGGTAGAAAGAGCTAGATTGAAGTCACCAAGTATAAGTGTATTATTATCTAAGTATTTCTTCACTTTGGTTAATAATTCGTTTAAGTATTTGGCAGCTCCCACATTCGGGGCATATATATTGAGGATTGTTAAGTCCTCTTGTTGGATAGATCCTTTAAGTATGATATAGTGTCCCTCTTCGTCTCTCACTACTGTCTTCGGGGTAAATTTTAGTTTATCTGATATAAGGATGGCTACCCCTGCTTTCTTTTGAGAACCATTTGAATGGTAAATGGTTTTCCAACCTTTTGTTTTCAGGCTGTAGGTGTCCTGTCTAAAACGAGTCTCTTGTAGACAGCAAATAGATGGGTCCTGCTTTTTTATCCAGTCTGAAACCCTGCGCCTTTTGATGGGGTCATTAAGCCCGTTCACGTTCAGAGTTACTATTGACAGATATGAGTTTAGTGTCATCATGATATCTATTCAGTCCTTGTTTTTGTGGATTGTTCCACTGAACTTCTTCTTAAAGGGGAATTTTAAGAGTCCCCCTTAAAATTTCTTGCAGAGCTGGTTTGGAGGCCACATATTCTTTCAGTTCCTGCCTGTGTTGGAAGCTCTTTTCTCTCCTTCCATTTTGAATGAGAGCCTTGCTGGATAAAGTATTCTTGGTTGCATGTTCTTCTCATTTAGGACCCTGAATAGATCCTGCCAGCCCTTTCTGGCCTGCCAGGTCTCTGTGGAGAGGTCTGCTGTTACCCTAATACTGCTCCCCATAAAAATCAGGGATTTCTTGTCTCTTGCTGCTTTAAGGATCTTCTCTTTATCTTTGGAATTTGCAAGGTTAACTATTAAAAGTCAAGGTGTTGAATGGTTTTTATTGAATTTGGGGCGGGGGGAATCTCTCTATTTCCTGGATCTGAATGCCTGTTTCCCTTCCCACATTAGGAAAGTTTTCAGCTAGGAATTGTTCAAATACATATTCTGGCCCTCTGTCCCTTTTGGCGCCCTCGGGAGCCCCAATTAAACGTAGGTTTTTCTTCCTCAGGCTGTCGTGTATTTACCTTAATCTATCTTCATGGTCTTTTAATGGTTTGTCTCTTTTTTCCTCAGTTTCCCTCTTTGCCATCAACTTGTCTTCTATGTCACTCAGTCGTTCTTCCACCTCGTTAACCCTCGTCGTTAGGACTTCTAGTTTGGGTTGCATCTCATTCAATTGATTTTTAATTTCTGCCTGATTAGATCTAAATTCTGCAGTCATGAAGTCTCTTGAGTCCTTTATGCTTTTTTCTAGAGCCACCAGTAGCTGTATAATAGTGCTTCTGAATTGGCTTTCTGACATTGAATTGTAATCCAGATTTTGTAACTCTGTGGGAGAGAGGACTGTTTCTGATTCTTTTTTTTTAATTTATTTATTTATGATAGTCACAGAGAGAGAGAGAGAGGCAGAGACACAGGCAGAGGGAGAAGCAGGCTCCATGCACCGGGAACCCGATATGGGATTCGATCCAGGGTCTCCAGGATCGCGCCCTGAGCCAAAGGCAGGCGCCAAACCGCTGCGCCACCCAGGGATCCCTGATTCTTTCTTTTGAGGTGAGGTTTTCCTTCTAGCCATTTTGTTCAGTGCAGAGTGGCCAAAAACAAGTTGTATTGGGAAAAGGAGAAAAAGAGAGGAGAGAAAGAAGGAAAGAAAAGAGAAAAAGAAAAAAGGAAGAAAAAAAGAGAAAGAAAAAGAAAGAAAGGTGAAAAAAAGGGGGTGGGGGAAGCAATCAGAAATCAAAAAGAAAAGAAAAAAGAAAAAAAGAAAAAAAAACAAACAAAAACCACGGGGGAGTATCTTCTGAATCTGTAGACTTTAAGTCCCTTGACTTCCCCTGGAACTGGTCCGTCCAGCTGGTCTTCTGGGGGAGGGGCCTGTTGTGCTGATTTTCAGGTGTTAGCACTTGGGGGAGCTGCTCTGCCCCTGCCTGCTGCAGGGCTCAGCGGGGGTTGTTTACCCCGTGGGGCCCCAGGAGGAACAGCCGCAGTTGCTATGGCAACTCTGAAGCCCTGGATTCAGCCTCCGCAGGAACTACGGGGCTCGGGGCTCTCGGCTCTCCGTCCGCAGGGCCTGGAGGCTCCGGGGCGGGGCCGCTGATCTGCTCAGCTCGGGGCAGGAGCGTCCTCGTTGTCCTGGGCCCTCCCGGCCTCTGCCTGTCCCGGGGGAGGCCGGATCCTGGGCTGTGTCCCGGCGCCCTGTGCTCGGGGCTTGCGCTGTGGGATTCTCGCTCCCGCCCAGCAGCCCCCTCCGCGGAGCCGCCGCCCGAGCCCCTCCGAGCTGCTCCGGCCCCGCCGTGCGCGCTGCAGCCCTTAGGGAGCTCGGCGCACTCTCCCGGGGCGCAGGTGTCTGTTAGTGTCCCCGGGAGCCCGAGGGCATCCCCGCCCTCCCGGGTCCTGCTCTAACTCTCTGCGGGCCCCTTTCCGCCTGGGAAGGTTGGTGCAGCTCCTGCTTCTCTGGGACGGGGCTCTCCTGTCCTGGGGACACTTGCCCCGGCCTCAGCCCGGCTCCTCGCGGGGCCCCTCCCCCTCGGAGGCCTTTTGTTCCTTTATTTCTTTTTCCCCGTCTTCCTCCCTTGATAGAAGCGCGAACTCTTCTCACTGCAGCGTTCCAGCTGGTCTCTCTTTACATCTCAGGCCGAATTCGTAGATTTTCAGCATGATTTGAAGGTCATCTAGGTAATTTGTTGGGGACAGGTGATTTGGGGACCCTGCTCTTCCGCCGTCTTGCCCCTCCTCCCGCCATCTTGCCCCTCCTCAGAGATATTATTTAAAATGTCTCAAGAGGGATACCTGGGTGGCTCAGCGGTTGAGTATCTGCCTTCGGCCCAGGGTGTGATCCTGGAGACCCAGGATTGAGTCCCGTGTTAGGCTCCCTGCATGGAGCTTTCTTCTCCCTCTGCCTGTGTCTCTGCCTCTCTCTGTGTCTCTCAAGAATAAATAAAATATTTTTAAAAATAAAAATAAAATGTCTCAAGAGCGGTAAGTACCTTTTTCACGGTCTGGAATAAGCTTGTTCTGGCTTCTGGTTAGAATGTAGATCTTGACAGATCATTAATCCCACTGTAACAACTACAAAAAATCAGATATTAAAAGAAAGTTACACATTTTTAAAGGATTCTTGAAAGTTTTGGATGTAATAAGGTCTAAACTAACTAAATTCTGGAGAAGACAAACACATACCAGTGGCTATTATCCTCCCTGTGAGAATTGGCTTGGAACTGAGAGGACTGGGCTAGTCATGGACTTAAATAATTGCTGGGATAAAGATCTGGTCATGACTATGGGGCCTGTATAGACAGAGTGAAATCTGTAGAAACCCCAAATGCATATCTAGTTGTCCCAATCTATGGATTCTCCCAATAGGTTTTTAAAAAATACATAGTTAGATAATAATATATCAAATTAATGTTTCTAGTAGAGGGGGGGTGGGAGAGTGGGAGGTGTCTGTAAAAGCAGAGAGTCATACTCTGTCACCTTAATCAATTTTTGTGTTCCTCAGGAAAACAGTTCCAATATTACCCTTTTTCCTCAGGGCTCAGACTTGGAACCACTGAGCTAGCTGCGACAACCAGCCTCCAACACTCACACCAATGCTTGCCTCATCACATCCTTCTTATTCCTGTGTCCTTGTGGCCATTACTGAAAGTTTACCAAGTGTCCAGTGGGAGGTAAAGCTCCATGACTATGCTGCAAGAAGAGCGTTTATAATCCAATTTACAGATTATGGACAGAAATGGTCAGTAATTTGTGCAAGGCCATCCAGCTGCTAGGTGAATCCAACTTTGCTTGATCCCAAACCTCACAATCTCCACTGCAGCACCTTCCCAAGAAATGAGGGCTGGTTTTGCAACATAAGCAGTTGTAATTAGGCCTTTGAGTTAGGAACAGCTATCCTGTGTCAGATACTGACATTTCCGGCATGATGGGGTTGACTTGTAAATGTAGAGTGGCACTAGGGACATTGGCACCCAGCTAACCATGGACTCTCTTTTTTTAAAAAATATTTTATTTATTTGAAAGAGAATTAGGGAGATGGAATGCACAAGCAGGGGAAGGGGCAGAAGCAGACTAGACTCCCTGCTGAGCAGGGAGCCTGATGTGGGACTCTATCCTAGGACTCTGGGACCATGACCTGACCTGAAGGCAGATGCTTAATTGGCTGAGCCACCGAGGCACCCATGGACTCCCATTTTGTAGCTGGACGGCCAATAGTTATACCTGTTGCTTTTGGAAGCTTTGTCATACCAAGCAGGTCTTATTGCCATGGCAACACTGATGCCTCCTCCCATGATCTCCTGATCCATACGTTTGCCCCACACAGAGATGCTGAGATCTTTCTCCTTCATCTACTTGGGGCTTCTGGGAGTACTGGGAAGCCCATGTGGCCTTAGCACCGAGGACTTGGGAGACCCTTTGGACTGTGCAGCCCCGGACTGCAGAGCTGAGGTATGTTCTTGTGATTCTCTCACTCCAGGGCTTTGAAGTGGGCCCCAGAGTCGCCCCGCAGCCCGCAGGCAGTGTTTTCACACCAGGCAGCGCCTGCAGAGTCAGAGACAGTGAGCAGGAGACCGAGGCCTTTACTCGGATGGGACCTGGGAAGGGCTCCTGGCTGTGGAGGGAGGCTCCAGCTGCAGAGGGGCAGGTGCTGGTGGGAGAGGGCGGGGCTCTGACTCAGGATGTGGAGGGTGAGGGGCCGGTTTCAAGGTTGTTTGGTCAGACCAGGGTCACTCTGGATCAGGTGCTAGGTCAGAGTGGACGGGATGGCTCCTGGCTGCGGGGATCAGGAAGGGAGGGTTCCTGGCTGCAGGGTTGCAGATGATGGTGGGTGGGGTTCTGGCTGCAGTGGCCAGATCATGGACGTAGGCCAGATCAGGTGTGTTGGCCAAGGCAAAAGGAGGTCTCCTCACTGCAGAGGTGAGGGGTACATGGTGGGGGTTCTAAGCCAGGGCATGGAGGGTGTGAACTGGCCAGGGAGGAGATCCAGGTCGCTGTGGGGGGTGGTAGGGTGGGCTGTCTGGCACCAATGTCCCTCTATCCTCTTTGCACCCACAGGCCACCACTGCAGAGGCTGCGGCAGTGTGCGCATCCCTGTCCAATCGGGCTCCCTCCCCCGCCAGGTATTCATGATGGCACTGGCAATGCTGCGTGAGTGGTGCAAGTGAGAGCACGCACCATTTCCTGCTCATCCTGGGCATCCCGGATAACTGCGAGGAAGAGGAATTCCAGAATGCCGTGAAGACTGCCCTGTGGCCCCTGGGCAGATACCAAGTGCTGGGCAAAGTGTTCAGAAAGGAGCTCAGATCCAGGGTCGCCTTAGTGGAGTTTGCTCAGTATTTAAACCAAAGTTTGATCCTCCGACAAACAGCAGGCAAGGGAGGACCCTGGCCTGTGGTCTTTCTGCCCCAGGCTCCTGATTTAGAGTCACAGGATAGACCCAATTTCCTCGCCCAGCACCAGAGGCAAGCAAGGTCTGGCCAGGCAGGTGAGGCAGGAGCTGTAGGTAAAGAAAGGGCTGCAGATGTCACAGGAGCTGCAAGTAAGGAGGGTGTGAAGATCAGGATGGAGCTATAGGTGAGGCAGGAGCTGCAGGTGAGGCAGGAGCTGCAGGTGAGGGGGGAGCTGCAGGTGAGGAAGGGTGTAAAGGTAAGGAAGAAGCTACATGTGAGGTGGGGGCTGCTGGTGATAAAGGACATGAAAGTGAGGAAAAAGCTGCAGGTGTGGAAGGAACTGTAGGTGAGGTAGGAACTGTAGGTGAGGCAGGAACTGAAAATGAAGGGATAGTGTTAGATGAAGGAGATGCAGATGTGGTAGGAGCTGTGAGTATGGTAGGAGAAGATGGAGGAGTACTCGATGAAGAGGGAGCTGTGGGTGTGGCAGGAGCTGCAGGTGTGGCAGGAGCTGTAGGTGGCAGGAGCTGTAGGTGAGGCAGGAGCTGCAGGTGTGGCAGGAGCTGCAGGTGAGGCAGGAGCAGCAGGTGTGGCAGGAGCTGCAGGTGTGGCAGGAGCTGTAGGTGAGGCAGGAGCTGCAGGTGAGGCAGGAGCAGCAGGTGTGGCAGGAGTTGCCGGTGAGGCAGGAGTTGCCGGTGAGGCAGGAGCTGCCGGTGAGGCAGGAGCTGCCGGTGTGGCAGGAGCAGAAGATGAAGGGGCAGTGTCTGATGAGGAGGGAGCCGCAGGTGACACAGGAATTGCAGGTGTGCCGGGATCTGTGAGTATGGCAGGAGCAGCAGGGGAGGCGGGCACTGCAGAGGAGGAAGGAGCTGCAGGAGCCGTAGATGAGGGAGGATCCTGGATCCAGCAGTGGGGCCAGGCTTGGCAGCCTGTGCCAGAAGACGCGGCCTATGGGGAATTGAGAACCTTCTCCGGGATGGAAGATCCAGACCAAGAGTCCTTTGAGGTCTGGCTGGAGCACGCCAACGACATGCTGTTCATGTGGCGCCACGTGCCAGAAGGGGAGAGGAGGCGGTGGCTGATGGAAAGCTTGGGGGGCCTCGCGCTCGAGTTCATGTGCGGCCTCCTGGCCGAAAATCCCAACATGCTTGCGCAGGATTGCCTGGCCGCAATGGTGCAGGTGTTCGGAGACAAGGATCCCTGCGTGACCGCACGGCTGAAGTTCCTGACGTGCGCCCAGCGGCCCCAGGAGACTCTGTTTGCCTACGTGATGCGCCTGGAAGGCCTGCTGCAGGCGGCCGTGGAGAAGGGGGCCATCCATCCCATCATCGCGGACCAGGTTCGCGCCAGGCAGGTGCTGATGCGGGCTCGCTCCAACGAGATGTTCCAGAACAAGCTGAAGAGGATGCGGCTGGAGAGGAGACCACCCGGCTTCCTGGGGATGCTGCGGCTCATCCGCGAGGCCGAGGCGTGGGAGGCCGCCCCAGCTACGGGTGAGCAGTTCCAAGTGGAAGAAGGGCCCCCCGCCCGTGTATGTCAGAGACTATGGCAGGAGGACCGTGGTGGTGGGGGACGCAGAGGTCCCTGAGAGGAGGAGGGCCGTGACCTATGGGCTCTAGTGACGGTTAGACGTTCCTCTCTCTATTGTCATTCACTGTCTTTTATGGTCGCAGTACATTTTCTCTTCAATAAATTTCATTGAATGTTTCAGCTAGGTCTTGTCTTGGCTGTGGCTCATCGACGGAATGGTCTACTGAAGTCGGAGTGGGGCCAAGAGTTGCCTGTTACTCAGAGTTGGCTTTCACATATGGTCACGGCAAGGTACAAGAGGTGATGTGGGTTGCCTCATTTGCAAGATTTGTCACCACGCAGAAGGATTGTGCAAGCTGCATTTTGCCAGTCAGAAGTTTGTTGTGTGAGCAGAATGGCTCGCTGGGCCTGTAGGGCATAAACTGAAACGTCTTGGAAATAAGTGGGTAAGACCGTGAATGAAGGACAAAGGATATGCAGGATGGAGTCCTGGGTATATATTTAATAGCTCCTCAGTTTATTGTCATATATATTCAGTCTCTGCAACTATTGTGATAGAGGCTTCAAGAAACTGTGGATGAACATTAGATTCTCAACTGGAAAGAAAAATGGGTGAGATTCCACCAGTCTTCCAAGGGTCTGGGGAGGAGAGCGAAAACACCTTAATTTTTGCGCAGGCGCTCCTGATTTGCGCGCGACACCGTCTTCTGTGCGCCTGCTCGGCGGGAGCTCCCTCGCTGAAGCTTGTGTTGCGCCTGCGCCTACCGCCATTTCCTGCACCGCGGAGCTCAGATCGCAGTGCCTATCGGGAAATGCGACCTTCCTCAAGCGAAATGGCCGCCCGGGACTAGAACAGCCTCGGTGTAGTTTCTCCTGCTGCCGTGCTGGTTCTGGCCGCTAGATGGCGCGCGAGGATCATAAATGGGCCGGACCGTCCGTCTGGAGCTGCCTGGGGCTCTGGCTGCCCTGAACCTCGCTGGCCTGGTGAGCTGTGGTGGTGCCAGCGACCGTGGGGTTGCAGCAGGCCCCTCTCACCCTGTGTGGACCATCGCCGCAGTCCCGGCGGAGGCGGGAGAGAGGGAGCGAGCTGGGTGCCCGCTAGGAGCCGAAAGGGGCTCCTCGAAGGACAAACAGTGTATGTTCTCATTCATTTGGGGAATATGAATAATAGTGAAAGGGAATAGAAGGGAAGGGAGAAGAAGTGGGTAGGAAATATCAGAAAGGGAGACAGAACATAAAGACTCCTAACTCTGGGAAACGAACTAGGGGTGGTGGGAGGGGAGGAGGGCGGGGGGTGGGGGTGAATGGGTGACGGGCACTGAGGGGGACACTTGACGGGATGAGCACTGGGTGTTATTCTGTATGTTGGCAAATTGAACACCAATAAAAAATAAATTTATAAAAAAAAAGAAAGGGGCTCCTCAATTATGTAAGTAATGAACCCCCTTTTCAGCCTCTTGTTGTGTCATCAGTCTCAATATCCAAAGCAAGTTTAATGGTGGTGGTGGGGTGCTATTTTTGTCTTGAGAAACCAACATTGTTAAAAGCCATGTGAAAGTCTATGCTACTGCTCCTCCCCGCCCTACAGAGACAGGCAAGAAGGTGAATTACAAACAGTGTCACAAGAGGGATCGTGGAGATTAGAGCTGCTCTTAAATTCTGAAGGATATGGGGGTGGGGTACCCATCATATCTCCCTTTGTTTTTCCAGTCTGAATGACTCTATACTTAGTATCGCAAACTTCATCAACTTCATCAACTCGTAGTTCCAGTGCCTTAGGTACTGAAACAATGAAACATAAAAGCAGATGTTGCAGGATGCCTGGGTGGCTCATTTCGTTAAGTGTTGGGCTCTTGGTTTAACCTCAGGTTGGGATCTCCTGGTGGTAGAATTGAGTCCCCAGTGGGGCTCTGTGCTCAGCGTGGAGTTTGCTTGAGATTCTCTCTCCCTCCCCCTCTGTTCTCCTCCCCCGCCTTCTTGCACTCTCTCTCTCTATAAGATGGATAAATAAAACCTTTGAAAAAATAAAAAGCAAATGTTGGGGGAACGCAGGGGGCTCAGTGGGTTAAGCCTTGGACTCCTTTTTAAAATTATTATTGGAGTTCAATTTGCCAACATATAGAATAACACCCAGTGCTCATCCCACCAAGTGCCCCCCTCGGTGCCCATCACCCAGTCACCCCCACCCCCCGCCCACCTCCCCTTCCACTACCCCTTGTTCGTTTCCCAGAGTTAGGAGTCTCTCATGTTTTGTCACCCTCACTGATACTGATTTTGGCTCAGGTCATGATCTTGGGTTGTGGGATTGATCCCCACTCTGACTTTCCCCTGGGCATGGAACCTGCTTGACATTCTCTCCCTCTCTCTCTCTCTGCCCCTCCTTCCACCCCATGAGTGGGTGCTTTCTCTCTCTCTCTAAAAAAAAAGTACACGTTGAGGCCACTCCTCTCGTGAAGGTAGGGCTTGTGTCCACCTCAGGAATGACTATGTCTTTGCACCAGATCTCCCAGTTGGGCCAGAAACACTTTCTCTAAGTATCACCACAGTCTCAGGTTCTTTCTTCCAGTCCTTTTTACATCTCCCTTTTCTTCCACAGGTGTGAGACCTTCACTATGATTCTAAGGCTGTTCCTGCTGTCCCGTGTGCCCTCTCCCCTTTATCTTTATCAGTAAATCTTTTGCACTTCTAATACCATTTTGGCTTTCTGGAGGACCCAAAATGACACATTTGATTGGGAAGGGATAGAGAGAACCCCTCCTTCTCTTCCTTCGTGGAAAAAGTAGGAGAAATACCAACACACTCTTTCTTTCTAAAAATTCCCTTTAAAAATTACATTGGAAATATGTGATCTTCTCACAATTAGACTTAATAGGATGCTACTGAAGTGGATTTGGCATTTTTTAGTAAATTCAGCACTATAGGTGGTTCATTTGAGGGATTTGGGGATTGAAAAAGGAAAACATGTTACCACGAGAGGCATTCACACACAAGCTTTACTGGGTTGCACTTAGACAAGGTTGCACATGCTTCATAGCATAAGACCATCCAGAAGCTTATGGGTGGTCTAGAGGGCCACCACCCAGAAAGGGAAGAAGTTATGGTAACTTCCAAAGCAGAGTGGATCACAGAGGAGACATAAGTGTCTTGGTGATGACACATAGTCTTTGGAATCAGAGAATTCTGAAGGGCAGCTGTGGTTTGGGGTCTTAAAATCACAAGCCTCCACCTTATCAATGGATAGCAGATGTGAGGTAAGGTATCCTGGAATATGCAAAGCAGGCAGGCCCTAATCAACTACAAATCTGCTTGTTTGGACTATTTCTAAAATAATTAAATGGGTAAAAATTAGAATTTGGCACCAGTGGGCTTTTGAGCTGTCAAGTCTCAGACGGCAGTGAAGTAATAAAAAATACCTAGAAGCCAATACACAAAGACTATCTTAGGCTAATTCACATACCAAGCATCGTGTTGTGTTTACACTGAGACTGGAGACTGCAGGGACGTAGGGCCTCCTGTCCTCACATTTGGGCTAAAATCCTCTGGAAATAGACAACATTCACTGTAATATTCTGCCACAAATTCTATGAATACTGAATAGCTATGCCTTGCTTCAGATGCTTGTAGTCCCTGCTGTTATAATACCTTGAATTGCTTAAGTACAATCAATGCTTAATATACAAATGCATATGTAATCACTGTGTTAATTGCTTACAAAGGATACAAGAGTGTGTTAGAGATGGACCTAAGTTAGATGAGGGCAGGTGAGGCACCTTCGGTGAAGAAACATAAATGGTGAAACCAGGAGAATGAGTAGGAGTTGTCAAAAGGTGAGGGAGGTCATGCTCTGGCAGAAAGAACAGAGTATGCAATGAGCACAAAAGTGACCTTGACCTAAGCCACTCTCTCCCACTGTCACACCCCAGGCTTTGTCATCTCCTATAACTACCTCACCTTGAAAATCAGTGATTCAATCATCACACTCTCTGAACACAGATCCTCAACCCACTGTGATCATTTTCTAACCTCTTCAGGACCTTCATACATTGTATCCTCTAGGTTTCAAAGGGTCAGACCTCTCCTATTTTTCACATGATCTTTTTATCTAACTGAATTTATTGAGGTATATTTCAGATGCACAGACTTAACAATTAGACAATTTGACAAATGGTGAGATATGTATATACCCATGAAACCATCATCACAATCAAGATAAGAAGCATCTCCATCCCCCCAGACTTTTCTCATATTACTTTCCAGTCCCTCCCTCCTTGTGTTTAAACTTTAAACTTTACTTATTATTTCGAATAGCTATTTTTGGTCAATTCTGATATTTCCTACATAGAAATGTTGTCTACAGATAAAGACAGTTTAACTTCTTTTCCAATAATGAATGCCTTTTATTTTTTTTTCTTACCATGAGACACAGTAAACAACTACTCTGTCTTAGAAAGGGTTTCTCCTTAGCTCCTTGGCTTCTTATTGCACACAACCTTAGAATTCAGCAGAGATCTTGATGGGGAAATTCTGCAGTGTGACAGACTCAGTCACCTGCCTCTATCTTCTCATTGCAGTATTGGATTTTTTAACCCTATGATCCAGCAATTGCACTACTAGGTATTAACCAAAGAAAACAAAAATGCTAATTCAAAGGAATACACACATCCCGGTGTTTATAGCAGCAGCATTATCTACAATAGCCAGATTATGGAAACAGCCCAAGTGTCCATCAATAGATGAATGGATAAAGAAGATGTGTCACATATATATGATGAAATATTACTCAGCCATCAAAAAGAATGAAATATTGCCATTTCCAATGTTGTGGATGGAGCTAGAGTGTATTATGCTAAGTGAAATAAGTCAGAGAGATAAACACCATATGATTTCAATCGTATGTGAAATTGAAGAAGCAAAACAATTGGTCATAGGGGAGAGAGAGAGAGAGAGAGAGAGAGAGAGAGAGAGAGAGACCAAGAAACAGACTCCTAACTATGGAAAACAAATTACTGGTCACCAGAGGAGAGGTGGGTGGGGAGATGGGTGAAATAGGTGATGGGGATTAAGGAGTGCACTTGTAACGAGTACCAGGTGTTGTATGGAAGTGTTGAATCACTATATTGTACACTTGAAACTAATACTGCACTGTATATTAGCTAACTAGAATTTAGATAAATACTTAACAAGATCTTAGCCTTTTAAGTTTCCAATTTTGTCTTTCTAGCCTAGTGAGACTGCTGAGAATTCTATTGGTTTTTTGGTTCTCAGCTGTGGTCATCTACCTGAGTGAAGCCTGTGTTCTCAGCCTCTTGCTCTGCACCCAGAATTGGCAAATGCCTCAGGGAAAAAAGTTGCAAACTGTCACTTCACCTTTCCATGGCTCTCCTCTCCTGCATGTTGGTCCCTTAAGTTTTGACAACTTCAGTAGCTCTCCAACAGCTTTAAACTGATCTTTTTTGTCATGTTCTTTTTTGTTTTTACTACTTAAAGTAACATTTTGATATGCATCTCCCTGATGATTAATAACGTTGAATATTTTTTCATTTGTCTGTTGGCTATTTGTATGTCTTCTTTGGAGAAAATGACCAGGTCCTCTGCTCATTTTAAAATCAGATTGTTTGGTTTTCTATTGAGTTGTATGAGTTCTTTATATAGTTTTGGATGTTAACTATTTGATATATGATTTGCAGATATCTTCTCCCATTCAGTAGGGTTTTTTTAAGTTTTGTTGGTTGGTTTCCTTCATTGTGCAAAGCCTATTATTTTGATGTAGTCCCAATTGTTTATTTTTGCTTTTCTATCCCTTGCCTGAAGAGGCAGATCCAGAAAAATATTGCTGTTGCCAATGCCCTAG